CTCACGACTTAAAATAAAAGAGACGGTTTCATGGTAGTGCAAAAGTGGATGTTAAAATGCACTTAGTGGGTAGGTTGAAATTGAAATTGTTTAGATAAGAGTTAAAATGCCAAATGAAGATAATTGGTGGATTTTTGAATGGTGGACGTGCAGGTTACTTTTCAAATATAAATTTTTTTTTTTTCAAATGATGTGGCCGGCAATTAACTGATGTGGGGAAATAAAATTAAAAAAAAAACATGGTTAGTGAATAAAGTGGGGGTAATGGATAAAAATTGGAGTTGAAATTTTATTTTCAAATGAATGATCGGGGACGGTTTTGGCATTGACAAAAATGGAAGTTTATTAGAATGATAAGTTGGAGAATAAATGATGGATGATGAAACATGCAAGTAATTTGTCCAATTAAAAAAAAAAGTTTACATAATGGAAACAAAAATGGTAGTATTAAAATAAAGTGTGTCGTAAGAAAAATAATGTAGCCAAATTAACATAAAATTTTGTCGGTTAAAAGCGATTTTAACACCTTGTAAAATTTAAGAAAATCAAGTACGTGAAATTTTACTTTCGTGACCAAAATTTAATTTGGACTATTAGGAAGTGTCGTAGCGACATAATAATATAACCCAAATTATATTTGAGTTCTATAAGAAAGTTTTATTTGAAATGAAACAAGACACTTTTTTTTCCGGTCGCTACATATATATTGTTTCTCTTCAAAGAAAACGTTAATTATATCATTTTGACTAAAAATAATAATTCAACTGTCTATAACCATCCAGTATGCCTTCAATATATGTAGGACAATCAAAAGAGATCATTAAGTGAATTGTTGCCACTCGAATAACTAATAAAGAAAGAGGAGAGATACTTCTTGCTGGCTGAATAGTTCGAAAATTGTACACAATCATGGAAACACAAATGTTCCCATAGTTCTTTTAAGTGAGATCGAACTCGATTCATGACCTATTTCAATGGTCTTACATATGTCGGATGGTCGTAGACTGTAGAATCGTCATTTTAGCAAAAATGATGTAATTATATTTTATATAAACTAGAATGATATATATATTGTTTTAGTCATCATTGAACGAATGATGAAATTTTGGGTTCCAAAATGTTAACCCAAAAATATTTGGTTGGTGTGAACGCCTCTGAGTTGTTTACCATCAAAGAGCAAATAGTCTCTTTGATGGGAGCGCGATGACTACCTATATCACATGAGCTGTGCAAGTTTTTTTATATAACAACTTTCATCTCATATTATTGGTATATAACAACTTCAATGTCGTTATGAAATTTAATAAAGCAATTTATTTTTCATATCGAAACTATATCAATTTTGATTTGCGTCTCCAGAACGATTTCAATGTCATTATGTAAATTAGTGCAATTTTCGTACTAATACGACATCATTATCGTTTCATGTCTAAGGAACGATTTCAATGTCATTTTGTAAATTTATATATTTTCATATTGGAACGACATATGCGTCAACTATAACTATATAAAAGTCCTTTGTCTATTATGTGAAAAAATACACGTAAAATTACTTTAATTTTGTTCTAATAACGCAAAAAATGATAATAGCATAGTGACTACAAAAATCTAATAAATCATTTTGTGCTTCCAATAAATACAAAACAATAAAGTTATAAGTCATGACACATTACAACTTTAAGTTTCATTACTAGTTGTTTCACATTTATAGGTAGAGGGAACATGACCATTTTTCTTACAGCGGGAGACTTAGACATTATAGGACCAAAGTTGACATCTCCATTTTGTCTAGCATTGTTTGGACCTTCAACATCTCTCTAATTTTAACATACAAGCTCACACAAAGAAATTGTTCTCGAACAAAGAATAAGCGATATTTTCCCTTTGCCATTCACTGCAAATTTTCATTTTTAAGCACCTTCTACTGACTGCTCATATTCAACAAAATAAAAAAAAAATTAAATCCATGATGTCCATAACTGCAATTTAACATAAAAATGGTAAAATTTCTCATTAAATATCAAATTTCATGCATTATTGATCATGAGATGCATATCGTTATGTTTTGCAGAAAACAATATATAAGTTGTTCTGGATAGGAAATAAAAAATTTATGTTTCACAATAAAACAACAAATAGAAAGCTAAACATGTGTTTGTCAACATATTCACTTCAAAAAATAAGGGATAATAAGAAAAATTGAAAAGTAACCCATATCAAAGCTCTAATTCAATGACAAAATGAATTCAAAGTTGTTATTGACAAATGAACACCATAATCACAAATCAAAATATGTGATTCAGAAAAATTGAAAAAGAAAATAACCAAAATATTGAAATTTAACATTACCTTCTCTTCTTCTTCAAACGCCCATCAAGAATATTGTAAGTTTTGATTACTTAATTTTACTGAGTGTTTAAAAGAATGACAATGATAGATTTTAGGGTTTCATGATGGAGAGAAGATGATGAAAAAAAAGAAGAAGGATTGCAGTGAGATGTCGACCTGACTATAGAAGAAAGGAAGCCAAAATTGAATTAGAGCTAAATGGAAATTGAAAGAGGAATTAAGGTATTATGTCTTTTTACATACAAGGATATTTTAGTAATTCACTAATTGTATTTTCTTTTTCTTTGTATATTGAGGCTATCAAATTAAAAAAGATAGTTAATAGGCTTTTTAAATAATTCTTTGCTTGGACAAAGCCTCTTAAATGAAAATCCCATTAAAATACTTACAGACGTGTTTAAGGATAAATTCTACATAAGATAATTTTGATACAGATAAACAATGTTGGTTTGAACTACTACTCTTAATAATATTGACATTTAAAATAATCCCTCCTAGTCTTGATGAAATGAAGCCGTCCAAAAGCATATTAAATACACACATGAACAACCATTCAATTACATGAACAAGCAAATAACATCGGAATGAAACTGAATTTTATACTGCTAGCCTATTAGAAGAAATGAGTTTCAGCTTGTGTCGAGACAAAACATTTTTCTTCTCGCAGATAGAATTTTCAATTACTAATACACAATTTTTCTGATACTGGAAATGGGCTTCAAACCATGTTTCAATGCAGCTTTCCATACTATGTCGATTCTGTCAATGTCTATGGCCCCGACCTCATGGTGAGTCCAACCTTCCAAATAATGAACCACTCCACCGGCATGGCAGGCATGCACTACTCCTCTTTCCATTGTATACTGCACCAAGGTTGTGTAGTATTAATTATTTTGACACACATTTTTAAGTTCGGTCCAGCATACAAGATCATGTATTTAAAGATTTTAGATATTTTATTTTTTTCGGGGGTATATATTTTTTCTTGAAATGAAAGAAAATAGTATAAGAAAATTTACTTCACAAGCTCCTAGCCCTTCAACTTCCTCAGGCAACTTCATGGCAGCAAGAGTACCGTAAGAGCAATCTCTTCTAGATCCATGAATTGCTGGAACCACAAACTGATAAAATTTTGCTCCAGATGGGGCAAAACTTTGCTGGCGTGACGTGATCCACTTGCCAATTATCCATGTCTACAATAAAGATATCATGATTCGAGTCAATTTCTTTGATTTTTGGCCTGACTATATAAAAATAAACAGGAAAAAATAACGTGCAGGATATTATACATTTCCTGAAAATTAATCTTAGTTAATTTCATTGCTATGATCTACATACCCTACAGTTTTGTGCTGCTTGATACTTGGTCACATGGACTAAGTACTTCTGAGTATCAGCTGATGCTTCTTTCTGGATTTTTCGAAATCTTTCAGTGGATAGAGTTAGCATCTGCATCATTACATGCATAATTCAGTTTGATTAATTAACCTAAAAGATCGTTCACCTCCTTTATTGTGCACTGAATGCATAATACTTCCAGGAAATTAAGATAAAACCAATGTTGTGATGGATGATCAATCAAAGTATCAAAAGGCTCTTTACTAGTCGATAATTATGAATACTTCACTACTATTATACGTGTTGCACGTACCAGAACTCGGACATTTTTCCTGCAAAGATAAAGAGCAATGGCTCTTCCAAGTTTCGAAGTGGCTCCAGTCAAAAATACTTCAGTCACATCCTCAGGAATCTCATGGAGGATCGCGGCAGCTGTCAAGGTATTACCATGGACCACTCGAACTTTAAGGTTCGGGTGCTTGTTAACGAATAGCGTCCCACCTCCATTCAGAGACTCATTCTACATTCAGACATACTAAAACTGATTATGCCTGTAATTATCAATTGATCATTAGAGTTAAACACGTCCCTTAATGTGCAGGAGGGAGAAGTGACCTTATTTAAAGCAGCAAGGCTAATAACTTTAACTCCCAATCTATCAGCCCTAAGAATTGCCTCTTCTATTTGTTTATTGATGCCTTCTGCAGCAAATGGCAAGAAATACTGAAAAAATAAATAAAGCCAACCAGTTAGTAGCAATTTTCATGACAAATTGATGCACCAATTTAAATAAAATCTTAGCAGTATTCCTACAAACCTGAAAACCAAAACGAGGGACGATCCAGGTTTGGTGCAAACGATTCCTAAGGTAGTAGAATGAGTTTAGGAATGTCTTCGACTTGGCCCACATAATTAGCATCGCCAGAAAAGAAATTGGCAAGAACGGTTTCAAGTGAATTCTTGTATAGTAAGGCATAGATGACACAGATCTTGTCACGAATGGCGCGTGCATGGCCGATGACATATCCACCACATGTGCTAAAAACACGAAATCGGGAACTCTAGAATTTTTACCTGAATTTTCAAGTAAAATGGATCAAGTTACAATTTTTTCTTCTCTCTTTTTTTCACGATATGAAAATTTAAGTCCATTACAATGGATTTGTTTCATTTGCATGTTTCTTAATGCTGATTACTGATCATTGACAAGATAGTTATTAACCTGAATCTAGACTGATTTTCTTGTGCATGTCCCTTGATTTGCTGTTCAAGGTGTTTCCCAGTGCATCAAAAAGAGGCATGAAAAGGCAATAGTTGGTTCCCATTTCAACATGATGCAGACTATGGTATCTGCAGGTATCACCATATTTACCAGAAGAAAAATGAATCAGAACTTAACCCTACAATGAAATTTATGAGTATAGAAGACAAAAAGGCAACTTCTATATTTCACTTACGTTGGGGTATAGACGATATATCTAAGCAATGGGATCTTATCAAATATCTGATGGGGAATGATTTCGACGTTGGAATGACCTAAGCATCTCAGTGTATCAAAGATCAACACATAGCCATATATCAAGCTTAAAGATCCATATCCAAGCACAAAAGAACCAATTATCGGAATTCCAATCACAATTGTCAACAAAAGATGTTCCAAAAATGTAGCATGTCCAGCTGCAAATTATCAAATGTAAATGTATAAGTCGAAATAAATACAAACAAGCTAATAATAAATCTAGGAGTTTTTCTTTATCATTTTTTTTTTTTTTAAAGGCCTGATACTGATGCTATAATTGACTGACAAGTGACAGTAAGAAGGTTGACAAAAAATTCAATTCACTGTAAAAATTAAAATGGATATTAATTGTCTTATCAGTTACCTGTATACACTTGTGGTACAGGTGATGAATGGTGCACTGCATGATAATGGGTGAAAAGATACTTATTTTCATGAAAACACTTATGTATGTTATAGTAAAGGGGCTCTGAAATCGTGACGTGTAGCATTAATACTACAATGATTCCCTTGTTGTTCCATACACCAAGAGTTTCAGGATCTGAAAACATGGAAAGCCCTAAAGCAGCTACAATAGCTTGAAGCAAGATAAAATTGTCCCTGAACAAAAAATAAAGAAGAAAAAAACGCTTAATAAGTCATAAAAATAGGGAAAATTATGTTCAAGCCAGAGATTAATTTTTACCAGTGCCATTCTTTGTCAATCTGTTTAAAGTCAACTCCTTTCTTGATAATCACACGATTTCGTGTGAGGAAAAGCATGCTAGTATAGGAAGTCCATGCTTGATACATGAAACCTCTAAGCAAACATAAAATTATGATATGAAGACACCAATTAGAGTTCCTGATGGTATCATCTTGATATCTTGTGTAAAGGATTCTTGCAAGAAAAGGTCCATAAAGCATATACTGTTAACCCAAAAAAACAACGTGTGTGTATCAGAATTGATAACATAATTATATAGGATCATAAATAATATGATTTTCACAACGTGTTTTTTTTATTTTTTTAGTGAAATATACCTTAAAATTGCCCAAGATTTCCCATGGCCAAGCAGACAAAGGTGCACTCATGTTTGCAGTAAAAAAAAACTTCTTAATTTCTTCAACTTCTTCTCTTTGGAAATGTTATCCAGCGGATGAAAACAACGGATTCCAAGTTTCAGAAAGTCAAGGATAAACCATGTATAAGATGAAGAAGAAAGTGTAGTTATGTAAAAATGAAGCACCTGTTTCTTTCTTTCTTTAGCACACTTTTATGGTAGGCAAAAATGGAGCATTCATTGTCGCGCTATCTACCTACTTATATAGACGGAAGATGACAAATATATATCTAAATTGTGTGGGGAAAAGATATTTATCTAAATTGTCAACAAGCACCTTCACGTGGACTTCATACTTATCATACAATCAAAAGTTTCCTGAACAATTTTCATATATGAGTTTTATCAATACATGAAATCATTGCAACTGTCTACTATGCTACCGTTTAAAGAAGGAGATATTATCAAGTCTATCTTTAGTTGATTTTTCTATAAAAGGCAATGCTAGGGCGTGTGGACGATAAGTTGAGAATACCTATTAATGGATGAGGGTCAAAATTTCACGCTATTCCAACAAATTCAACCATTTCCACAGCTAGAATCTTGTGTAATCCAACGACACGTGCAATATCATTTCGAACTTATAAGATCACTTGACCGTCTCAATAAAAGTTTATAAAAGATAAATTTATTTATTTAAATTCTGTTCAACGTATTTAAGTTTTGCGATAGATTGAGGGTCGTCAATATTCAACAGGCAGATCTTTATTTTCTTGACTTGTACAAGCAGTTGGTGGGGGGTGGCAGCAGAATTTAATGTTCCAATTTATAATATGAACGTGGTAGTGAGGGATGGGCTGGCAGCTGAGTTGTATTGCAATTAGAAATTAAACTCTAATAAATTTGTCATTTTCGGGAGGCCAAAAATGGTCGATATAAAAAATGGGAGTCGCATTTTCCAGCTAATTCAAGGTCTTTAAATTGGAAGTAAAATTTGCACCAAACTACATAAATAAGTAAATTATGTGTGGGGACAAAATTTTGATGCTCTTGGAGTTAAAGTTTGTATGGACGAAATAGGTAATAAAATCTACACCATAATTAATCTCATTAAATTACAAAAATTGTTTTAATCTATTTCTCGCCATCCATTTTCTATTTTTGAGTTTTTGAAATGTTAATTAACCTGATATTTATTCTTTGTACGATTTTTTTCTTGAAAAAACTAAACAATTACAATATGTCCACAAAAATTAATCTCTTAGAGTATTATGTGAAAATATCAATGAACGTGTTCATTTATCAGAAGGAATGAAAATACAATAGAATGTAGAGGTTCAGTCAATACTAAATACTAGCACTGATATTAACCCTATTAAATGAAATCTAACAAAGATGAAACTATTTGTCTTTTGTTGACCTCGATATTTGAGTACAACAGATGCCGAGTCCACTCGCGTTCACATGAGCTAGTTCCAACACATAGGGACGGATTGCTAGTTGTGAATACTCCAAAAATGTGGACTGTGGGAGAAGCTCAATGACACTAGACAAACATATTCGAGTTTTGACAATGAGTTTACGAAATGATTGAATAATAATAAACAGCCTCAAATAACTGGATCAAAGCAAAATAATGTAAACTTGTTGCTAAGTAAGAGTAAAACCAGTAACACGGAAAACAAGGAGTGGCTTTTAGTATCTAAAGTTGTATTAGCATTTAAATGTTACATCAGGGGGTATTTATAGTATTACAAATGAAATAGTGCCCCTTAAATGAAAATACATATGACATCATCTTCTTAGTCGAAGCATCTAATCCTTGGCATCAATTTGGACTTGCTAGCCTGTGATACATTTGATGCTTACACAGAACTGCCACTCTATCGACAAGATTTGACATTTATACTTGTTAAAAATATCCCATCAATCATTCCAAAAAGATTTCATACATAAGTTCAAGATTTTCTTCTTGTGGGTCATCACTTTCTATAGACCATCTAGAACTTCCTCACCTCAGAACCTCTACTTCTGTAGTGGAGACATGAATAGGCCTGGGACCAATATCTTGGGCCTTGTCACTTGTGTGAAAGGCTTCGCTGGAAGTAGTTCCAATAGTTGAATGGGTCAACTAATTAACCAAGGAGTCTCGGTGGTCGACCACTTGGATAAGAGGACCTCGGTAATGTGGAGCCACATGTAGCGAGTTATAACAATAGTCCCCTAAGTCCATGCATAAATATTGATATCATGATTGGAGTTGGAAGTTTTATTCTTGCATTTTGCAAAAGTATCTGAAATTTGCTTTGAGTCAAGGCAGCTTCTTGATGAACTGTCGAGGCTCCTTTACTTTTGAAATCACTGAAATTTATTTCAAGTCGAGGTAAAATGAAGCCGAACTACCAAAGCTCTTTTACTTTTGAAATTAGTTGAATTTGATTTCAAGTCGAGGTAGGATGAAGTTGGTCTGTCGAAGCTCGTTATTTTTAATAATAGCCCTCGAAAGTGGTGCCAATGATTTGATATCTTTGCACATTACCAATAGAAAGTAGTAGAGGCATTACAATTTCCAATACGCATACGATTGTTACATTAAACATGCAATGGTGGCAATGGCTTTGTAATTCGGAGTAAACGTGTTGGGGCCATGCATGGGAATCACGCATCAATTTGAGGCATCAATTAAAGTGACTGTTTGAATTCAACGCCTTAGATTTGGCTAAAAATTGGACGCTTCAGATAAAAAGGGTTTTGATCCAACGGTAGGGGCTCATCTCCTGTTTAGTATAAAAGGCAAAAATTGCCATTGTTGTCATTTATTTTTGCCAAAATCCTCCTCTCTCTCTCTCTCTCTCTCTCTCTCTCTCTCTCTGCATTCAAATTTATCATCATCTTTTTATTTTTCGACGATATCCATTCTTAGTCCTTCATTCCTTTCGACTAGGTAAAAAATCCAGTTACATTCTTTCTTCGTCATCATTTCAATGGTCTCCAAGTCAGTTTCTAGTGAGAGTAGGGTTACAATCGCTAGGTTCGATGAGAAGGCTTTGCATGGGGGTTCGAAGTGAGCTATTGGGCCATGAGCAAGGGTCTAATAGACTACAAGGCGAGGTAGGGGCTGCCAATATTCCTTCTGCCCTAATAGACTATGAGGTGAGGTAGGGGCTGCCAATATTCCTTCTACCATGACCTCCACCAAACTCACCAACCTTAGGGAAAAATATTGCATCCCGTATTACATAGAACTCCTAGTACCCAAGGCTTGCGAACGTGATTGCTATTCGAGGCTAGGTTGTGTAGCAGTGAGTGAATTCCTGTTTAAATTAGGAATACATCTGTTGTTATAACTTTTTTTAGGGTAGTGCTTCGGTGCTTCATGTTGGCTCCAACCCAGGTTCTGTAAAAGAGGTGAAACCAGTTGGTTGGGGCCTACTTCCTTTGTAAAGAGGTTTCCCTTGGCAAGTACATTCCTCTGCATGTCCTCTAAACACTTTTCCAACCTAGAGTACTTGGGAAAGATGAGTTGAACGGGTAGTATTATCTAATCCAATGGAGAGCTCATGCTCCCTTCATGGTAGGTCTTTCCTTCTCAATAAAGGGATCGAAGGAATTCTAGTTTTGAGTAAAGGGGAGATTGCAAATGGTTAAGGAAGACACAACCCAGCTTGCACCGTATTTGCCTAATACTTCGAAACACGTGAGAGTTTTCAGTTACATTTTGCTTTTCTTTTCCATAACTTCAACTGACATTTCCTTCTTGTTTTTTGTAGATTCAAGGTCACTTTTCGAGCTACACGAAGCGAAGTGGGACATAATCCTTTTACAAGCGTCATTCGAAACTGCGGCATTTTGATCACTTGATTGATCAAAACAGATATTTTCTTGACTTTGGACTGATGGTGTCCAGTTGTAACCAATGAGCTTTATGTAAATTGATTTTTATTATTTTTGTAGTTTTTATCCTTTATCTTTTGTTATTTGCAGATAACTTCAAGAAGAAGAAATACCCAACCCCCAACATGGCCTCAATCCTAAAGCCCACCTCAACTGTGGACGCTAAGGCTCTGAAGCTCTGGGGGCACGAAGCATGTTAAGAGTAAACTGGAGTGTGCCAAGATAGATGGAAAGGAAGTACCCCTTAAGGTTGATATGACCAACGAGGACAAGGGGAAAAAGATAACTGAGGAGCCTTAGAAGAAGAGGAAACTATCTCATAATAGTTTCAGCTCGGACAAGTTTGGCACAACTATTGTCCATTATGCTAAACCAGAGGATTCCCTGCTCCAAAGTTGATGGAGGCCTCCATGAAGGCAGTTAAGGTGGAGGCGGTGCAGAGGGCCAATGAAAAGGCCAGGAAGGAGGACGAGCAAGCCTCGAAGGTCTCAAAAAAGGCTCCAGTTGTGAGGACCCCAAGAAAGTCCGAGGGGTTTCTAGCGAGATAGGATAAAGTGATTGCCCCGCCATTTTAGAAATGTTGCCTTAAGAAGTTCGAGGCTACATCGTAAATTTTTACAAATTCTGGACTGAGAGGTGGCAATCTTATGTGACCACTTGCGACGCAACACTTGTAAGCCAAAAGCCTTTAGGATGGCCCTCGAGTGTCAGGAAGTTTTGGCTGCCTTTAAACAAAGAATAAGGCTTCAGTGGATAAGTTGGCCTCTACTGAGAAAGAAATAATGAAAATAAAGGCTGAGTCTGAAGTTATAACTTCACTAAAATCGGGCTCGTTTTTGTATTTATGAAAACTCTTTGCTATTATATAAAAATGTTCAAGCATTATACACCTAGCATGATAGTACATTCCAAATAAAATATTTATAGAGTCATAAAAACTAATCTAAATTTTTTAATGCTAAAAGCCAATCATTTATAATATGTCTATTATTATAAAATTCAGTTATTAAATATTCAAACCCCTTCGCATGATTTTAATAACAAGAAAGTGGATTTCCATTGCTACCCTACATCACTAAACAAATGTTTTTGTATTCGTCTACCAAATTCAGCACAAGATTTCTCAAAAGCGTGTTTTCTACCAGTGAAATAGTGATATATATCAGTGTATCCCTAATTCTTTGAATTTCATTCTTAATATGTTTCAAATCATCCTACACCATTAAATTAAAAATACAATGTATACAAGGAATATGAAATAAATAACCACCGGAGTCGGTCTGTAGAACCTTACACAATTTTTTGACAACTGACATATTAATACTAGCATTTTCAAACGTAATAAAA